ATTCTTAAAGATGCTTATACTACTGATGACATTAAATACGAATGGAAATTAAAGAATCCAATTCAACAGAAGGAAGGCTTAAGGCAAAGTTTGCCAAGTTTTGAACTTCAAGATGTTCTAACGGACTACTGTACGAGTAAAACAAATACAGGTATTGCATTGCTTTATTTTTGTAATCAATTTTGTAGACTTATGTAATGACAAAATACAAAACTATTTGCATGGCTTTTTTTTGTTGTTTATGCGTGTCGATATGCTAACAATTTCAGGTGAATATAGCTGTTTGAGGACAAAAATGATTTTACGACGTGAATTCAGCTATTATCTTTTGCAGGTGTGTGCTGTGCTATCATGAGACTTTTTTTTACCCTTTGTAATTTTTATCATTTACAATTTTACCCAATAATTATTAGCTGACTTCTAATTTTGTGTTAATATTTTTAACAATAAAAGCTTCTTGTGTTGATAAATCATTTGTGATTCAAATATTATCTGAGACAGAACAAAAAAAGTCAATTTCAATTTAGCCTTAAATTCAATCTGTAAAAAATTGCATTTGTTACTCCTGAAAAACGACACTTTGCTATAAAAATGATAATTAACAATAGTTTTCTTCCAATCATTTGAATCCAAATTATTATCAACGAAAAGTTTTAAAGCTTTCAAAAATGTTATTGTATTCGCCTAATATTGTTTTCATTTAATTTGCAATAACTGAATGTTTTTTTTTGTTTTGCTTTGTTTGTTTGTTTTGTTTTCCTTCCTTTTAATTTGTATGCTGATGCTAGTTTTCAGCTCTATATACCTTCATTCATGCTGGTCATCGTTTCATGGGTAAGCTTCTGGCTCGACAAGGATTCGGTACCTGCTCGTGTAACCCTTGGTATGAATGCTATTTTAAAAAAAAAATCAATTAATTAATAATAAAAAGCAAAAAGTAAATCCTGCTGTTTGTTTGTTTGTTTATTTTTTTTTGTTTTTTTTTCTCATAAAAAATTTTTCTCAAAATAATTTGCATCATTTTGGCGTAATTTGATGTATAACTCTGTGTGTTTGTCTATCTCTCTTTTAAATGTTTTCAGGTGTAACAACACTTCTAACGATGACCACACAAAGTTCGGGTATTAATGCTAAACTTCCCCCTGTTTCCTATACAAAGGTTGCTAATATATATTTTCAAAATAAAATTATAGCTTCCAAAGATTGTCGAGACAAAATTAATGGATTATTTTTTTTTTGTTTAATTTTGCTTTTTTTTTTCAAGAAAAGTATTTATTTGCTTAATTGTCTTTTTTTATTATTTAAATTATTAAAATTATCCGTCCATCAATAATTCACAAACTGTAACAGTGAAGGGCTTTTAGTGTTGTCATTTCATTATTATTTTTGAATTGCTTTTAAATGGCTTAGCTTTAGTAGAATTGAATTTAGGTTTTAATGAATTTTTTTCTTTTGGGCTATCATCGTGAACAAAGAATAAAACAGTCTGTAGTCCAGAAAAAAAGATTAGTTATATTTCATAAGTATTACAAAAAATAATCATATTTCAGTCTAGAAAAAAAAATTGAAAATAATTTATGTTACAAAAAAAAAAAAAATAGTAATACAAATCATCTTTGGTGCAAGAATTTGGGAATCATATTTTTTTGATCTAATAAAATTTAAGCACCATACTGCATTTGACAACAAGTGAAGTCATTAATCGAAAATATAAAACTTTCCAGAATTTTAAAATTATTAGATCCAAAAAAAGCAATCAATTTTCAATTTTCCTCTAATACATTCTTAAATAAAACTTACTTAACACTACAAGTACTTCTAGCCAAAAAGTAAATTTAGGCAATAGATGTTTGGATTGGTGTTTGCTTAGCCTTCATTTTTGGTGCATTGCTTGAATTTGCCTTGGTCAATTATGCAGCAAGAAAGGATATAACCACCGGACACCGAATGGTTCGTTTTAGGTTCGTTTTAGGCGGCCTGAAATGCGTTCCATAATTTTTTTTGATCTTATCACATATCACCCATCAATAAAATGGTGTGATTCTTTTGCTGAAAGCCTTTTTAACAGCTATTTTAAGTGCGCAATTGATACCATCATTGCTAGAAGGACATCCGGCACTGTTAACATCTTCATTAATGGCTTATAAAATTTGTTAATTTTTAAAATAAAACAAGCAGCAAGAGTTGACGTTCAACTTAATTACATCATATTATTTGAATGTCAATTTAAGGAGTTAGTATGAAGGGTGATTAAGAATTTCCCAGTGATATGAAAAAAAAAAAATTTGATAGAGAGGGCCTTTTTGTATCGATTTCCAAATGCTATTTTGCAGTTATCAAAATATGCCAGTCATCTGGATTACATGTCCGGTTATCAACCTTTAGTATCAGCAACCACTGCAATATCGCCTTCCCGTTCTTTGTGGTGTTTCCGGCCATTTATCCGACGCTACAAAGAGCGCTCTAAGCGAATTGACGTTGTTTCACGCTTGGTAATTTCTAATACGCCTAACCAAATTCCTATCACTAATCTTATCTCTTTTCCTTTCCATACTTTGATAGTTATGAGGATTTTCTTTTTGGAGGCCTTTATCTTGCTGAAATAAATTAGTCTTCCAGGTAAATATTCATTACTAAACTAAATATGTTACTCTTAAATGTACTAGTGAAACAAATTAGCACTTTATATATTTTTTTTATCAGATTTAACGTTTTTCCATCTTTTTTGTTTCCCTATCCTTAAAATTTCTTTTGCGGTCAGGAATTATGAAACGATCGATATAACAGTTTAGGTATTCAAAACATTCTCTTTTTCTGATAAATCACAAAGAGAGAAGGAGAGTGACAGAAAGTTTGGAAGATCAATGAAGAAATAGAAGATAGTTTTTTTTTTTTTAAATCCTTTAACTTTTTTTGGTTCTGGAAAAACTATTATATATTTTTCCTTTAACTTTTTTGGTTCTAGAAAAACTATTGTATATTTTTTATTAGCTTAACATAAGTTTCAATTATTGCTTTAGGTATTTCCGATTGGTTACGCCTGCTTCAACGGTATGTGTGTTTTTACGACTGATTAATTATTATAAAGCGAACTATTACATCTCCGATTAGCTGTATTACCTAGTAAATGAGAAAAATTAGAAACAATTTCATAAATAAATTGAAATTTTTATAAAATATTAATTTCCATGATAATGCGTTATCCCAATTGATGCTAACTGATAGAAAAAAAACTGCTAAATAAAGGCTTATTATCATCGTTGTTATCATTTTAATGGCTTGATGCATGGTAATATATGCTTGAATTAATTTGCTACTAATTAATCATCTTATTACAGCATGGCTTGTTCTGAATTTATGTTCTTTTTTCAGTGTTATACTGGGCTGTTTATCTCATTTAACAACAAAAAAAAAAATGTTTGGAATACAGTAACCTATGCTTATGCGATCGAATTATACACTGTAGACATTTGTGTATTGTATTATTGTTGACCAATCAATTGGCGCTATATATATATATTTTTTGTTCTTTCTGCTCAAATTATATTATTTATTTATTGGTCGAGAAATTAGCATAACGAATTCATCTATACTTATTTACTGTTCATCATTTCCTAAAAATAAAAAAATAAAAAAATTAAACACAGTGCAGAATTGTTCTTCGAAATGACTATTTTAATTCTATCTTACCTTTGAACGGAGTAAATCTGTATACCTATGATTATGCTATTTGTAGTACTAATTGCAGGTGAATACAGTTGTGCTCGTGTTATACTACTTCTTCGTCGTGAATACAGGTAACTTAATTATTGTTTTTATAAAGTTTACATGTTACTCGCCATATTTAGTTATTATTTAATTCAGCTTTACATACCGTGTGTCATGCTCGTCGTCGTCTCCTGGGTTTCATTTTGGCTCGATAAGGTATGCAACCTTATTTATCATATGATATATATTTCATATTTATTTATTTTCTTTCTTATATTATTTCAAATTGTAACTTTATTCAATTGAGTAAATTAGCAAGCAATTAATGGGAGTAATTAATTAGCACGAATTATATTGAAAAATTAGTAATTTATAAATTAAAAAAATTTAACTTAAAAAATTTGAAATAAAACTTTTAAAATAATTCTTTATTTAATTTGCTTAAATTAAAATTTTAACAGGATGCAGTACCTGCTCGTGTCTCATTAGGCGTAACAACACTATTAACAATGACAACACAAGCATCAGGTGTTAATGCTAAACTTCCACCTGTATCGTATATCAAAGCAGTTGATGTATGGATCGGTGTATGTTTGGCATTTATTTTTGGTGCTCTATTAGAGTATGCATTGGTCAATTATTATGGAAGAAAGGAATTTTTTAAGAAAGAGAAAAAAAAGACGGGCGAATTCAGGGGTTGTTTATGTCCATCCGATCATCCAATTAATCAGGTTAGCTAATTAACTATTCTTTTCAATTGTATATTAAGTAAATATGAAATATATTAAGCGTAAAATTAGATAATTAAAAAAAGATAAAATATAAGTCTAAAGAAAATTTATTTTAGAATATGAGGCAATCATTACGATTGAATATGAATGCGAGAAGAAAGTGGTGGAGGAAATATTGTTTCAATCTACATGCCAGTAGTGAACTTAGCAAACGTGTTGACCTCATTTCACGACTTGCTTTTCCAACCTCTTTTGCTTGTTTCCTTGGTAAGAAGCATATTTTTACATTCATTATCAATTTCTAAGAAAAATTTCATTGGTTCAATTTTTCATATAACTCGGTTATAGTCGAAAAAAAAAATTTAATTTTGATTGATAAAAAACTATATAGTTTGATTGATCAGAAAATTTTTAATTGTAAAAGAGTTGATACTGTAATCAATCTTTAATCAGTTGACTAATTAATATCGTATAGTTTGATTGATAAAATGGAAAATCAATAATCACTTAGTGCTATATAGTTTGATTGATCAAAAAATATTTAATTAATTAAAATTAACCGATATTATATATGAAAAAAGAAATTCACATTTTCTTTCATTTCAAGAAAAACGATCAATTTCAGTGCTTTATTATATGACGTATGTGAATTGATTGGTTGAAAAAATCATGTTCCGATGCAAATATATCGAAAATGGACGAATCAAATTTAAATGGAACAAATCAGCTCGAACGTGTGCAAAATGAAATGTGAATATTAATATGAATATAAAAGCATTTCAATTTTGTGCAAACTTTCTGTGACAGTTCAGAAAACTATTTTGTTTGCAGTGCATGAATAAAGCGGGTTTTTTTTAGTGTTATTGCATTTGATAAAAGTGATGAATGATAGTGATGATAGCAATGATAACAGTAATACATGGCAAAATAGATATGTTCCGCTTTTTTTATTAAAAATCTGCTACAATGATAGGATGTTCATTGCAAGGCTTGAAATATCTGATGAACACTTCTTCCGTTCCATTTTTTTTTCTTAAATCTTTCAGCTTCATTTTTCATTTTTCAATCTAGAAAAATATTCCACCATTTTTGAAGTCATGGATCAAGAATCGAGCAATGATGTTTGAAAATTTTTTCTATCAAATAAATTTCTTTAGCCATAAAATACAGATGTTTCATCATGCGCTGATAATTTCATATTTTCCACATTTTCCATGTGTTTCAATTGATTTATCATAAAATTTATAGTTTTGAATTAGATTTGATCATATGTTCGAGAGAATTTTTGCATATTGGTCGCTGTGAAGGGAGTCAACACAAATGTCTCCATCTTTAAATCTTTCTGAAATCACAACCAATTTCTCTTTGATAGCCAATTTATTTTGCTTCACATACGTAATATCACAATTATATTTATTGTTTATTATTTAAACAATCACAAGACATATTTTGGTGAAAATATGAACTACAAAATAATAAACGCAATAAATGTTATTAGTTTAACTTTTTGAAATAATGAAATTAAAAGAATAAGATTAGCCGGAAAATTGTATGATATAATTTATTATCATGGATGATGATGAAGTGTTGATGATGAATCATATCAAATGCTATATTAAAGGCTTTCTCAATTTTCAGAGTGCTGCACTGAGACAGAATTAAAATTTAATATTAACATGAATCCATCCAGCCCGATTGATTGTTCGATGATTGTCCTCCAAGAATAAAACTTCCACTTTCCTTAACTTAAGCATTTTCTATATAAGGAAACAGTCTTTGTTTTCTTTTGAAGCGCAGTTCATGCCTGACCAATGAAACTTCCTAGAAAGCATTCAAATGTTTTTCAATGGTGATGAAATAAATTGTCGATTTTTTCTTCTTTCATTTCTGAAATCTATTTTAATTTTCAACATATGATGTTGAAATTAATGTTAATACCTTTAAGTATCATGTGATTTATTAACATTTGCAATAAGATTTGAAAAAATAATATTTACGGCCAACTGATAGTGAAAATCATTGAGAAGTTTCATTTCGATGAGCTTTAGAAACATCAATGAATTTCCTTCAAATGCATATAATCACATATACTTCACTCAATGAGAAATGAGGTGACAGGATAGATGAATCGATATATGCGACAGATGGCTCGTAAA